ATTACTATCTATAATATTTTATAATATTGTAATTATCATATTATTAATATTTAAATCATCTAATTAAATATAAATTCCTATTTACTACTAAGCCCATATTGATACTATTAGACAAAACGGTATGATTCCTAATAAAAAACAAAAAAATCAAGAACCCCCAAAAAATTTGAAAAGATCATGAAAACTAAATGATAATTATGCTTTCCAAACTTCTGAACCTATTGAGTCTTTCAATGAAAATACTGAAACTATATCTGAAAATAAAGAGTATATATCAGATATAAATGATAATTCATTACAAGATTCCAACTCTATTCCAGATGGCTATAGACCTTTATCAAAAGCAAGTGCCAGTAAGCTAGATAGTGAAGTTTGGAATTATTTTCACCCTTTAGAGCATATAGAAACAGGAAATCGTGTTGAGTGGTGTCCTCTGGAGATTGTTAGAAATCATCAAAAGCAGATATGCAATATAATCTGCAATACAGGTGGATCAACAGAAAATATGTGGGACCATCTTTCTAGCATACATGGAATTACTAAAGAAAATAGTTTAAAATTAAAAGACCAGTTAAAAATAGATACTATATTTAAAACTACAACTAGTAATTTAAAGCGCAAACAAAATCAAACCCGTTCTTTAGTCGAATGGATTATTGATAGTGCGCAACCATTATATATTTTAGAATCACAAAAATTTAAAGCATTTATTGCTACTTTAGATCCTTATTATGAATTACCCACCTGTAAAGCTGTTAAATCAATGATACATAATGCTTATAATTTTTCTTCTAATGTTTTAAAACAAAAATTAAAAGATACTGCAACTTCATGTTCACTTACATGTGATCTTTGGACTAGTAGAAATCGTGAATCATATCTTGGTATTACCTGTCATTGGATTGATCAGGATTTTAAGCTAAACGAGGTTTTACTTGCTATTATACTTTGCCCTTATTCTCATACAGCAGAAAATATTTATAATACCTTATTTGAGACTATGGATTATTGGGATATATTGCATAAAGTAAAGGCAATTACTACAAATAATGCTATTAACATGGTTAAAGCTCTTGAATTTTTGGAAATACAAGAAATTAGTCAGATTAAATACATAGCTCACACACTGCAATTAGTTGTCAGAAAAGGTTTAATTCCTGCCCAAGCTCTTGTAGCTTGTACCAAAAGACTTATTGCATTTTTTGTTTCTCCAAAACAGTCAGAAAGACTTGAAGATGCACAAAGAAAATTACTAATTTCAGAAAATAAGGTATATTAGTATATTAATTATTTTGTATTGTACAAAATCCTAATCGATATTTATAGTAATAGCCTATACAAAGAGATTTCCAAAATTTTAGATTGGAATGCATTAGAATTTGAATTAGCTAGGTTCACTAAAAAATTTACTAGTAAAATTATTACTAGTATTGTAAAATTGCAATAATTTATGATAAGTTTACAGTAAATTATCGTAAATTACTAGTAAAAAATCTTGAAAGTTTCTATGCCTTATATTCTTTATAGTAGCTTACAGATAATTTATTATAGTAACTTATCATAGTAAGTTATTACTAATAGTCATGATTATTGCTATTGATTAAATAAAAAAATATCTAGCTATCGATTCTGCTAACTAATATTGCTGGTGTAATTCTAATGCATTCTAACTAGAATTTTAGTAACCTCTTTATATAAGTTTATAGTAATAATATAGAGATAATTGTCTTTCATATTAAAAATTTTCTATAGTCTAAGGTGAGAGGCACAAAAATTTTTCAACTATACTTTAGACTAAAAATATGCCTTTCTTGTCTAAGCATACTTCTATAATTATATATACAATCAACTTCTATAAGTGCTTCTTCAAAAAAAGCACTTTGCTATGATTTTCTCTCTATAAATGCATGTTTATTTAACCTAATATTACAGATAAATAAGTAGCCTGCACTAAAAGCCTAGTTCTAATAATATATACAAATGACTTTTGCTTAGGCCAATATCAAGAGCAATAACAAGGTCAAGTAAATTTATTTTTATTTGATCAATTAACTAAAAAATATATTTACTAATATTTATTATCTTTTCTTTCCTTATATATACCTAATTAACTCTTATTAATTATATTACAAATCAATCACACTACTTTTAACTTTTAAATAAATTATATGCTTTTTTATATATAATATGCTTATACTTTACTATACTATTTTATATTATATACATAATTAATTAATTGCTTCATGATTTAAATTTCAGCTTCAATCCTAATTAATCACTTAATAAATAATCGCTTTGAATATTTTTTAATCTAAGATAAGTATAATTTTATAAATTCATAATACCATTTTTTAAACTAATATATCACTTCCTTTTTATGTCTTTAGAGCTTTAACTTTATACTTCTCACCTAGTAATTATACCTGTAGAAAAACTTTTATTCAGGTTATCTGAATAAGTTACTGTACAATATATTTCAATTTTCACCAAATATATTTATATTTATCTTTACATAATATTGGTATCATTTATTTTATAAATAATTACTTTATAAACAATCTAGTTTATAGACAATATTATTTTACAAATGAATAATTCACAGACGAATTCATTTTATAGAAAAATTAATGTTGCGGCTGAAACTGGAAATGGCTGAAGCTGGAAATTTTAAATATTTTAATATGAAATTTTCAAATTTTTTGGAGAAGCATTTTTTTAGCTTTTTTTTCATGGTTTAGATTAGGATTTAGGATTAGTTTTGATAATGAAAGAGTATAAGTAGATTTTGGCAAAGTTTATATTTTTAAATCAGGGTCCTTGATTTCCAGCTTTAGCCATTTCTAGCATTAGCCGCAACAATTAATAATATAGTTATACAATTTATAAAAACTTGTCTGTGAATTAATTATTTATAAAATAATCTTGTATATAAATCATTCAGATTTAGACCTCTATAAGTGCATATTCCTCAATATTGGCACTTATAATAGGTTGACAATACCAAATTCTTTCGAGTTTAACAATATACTCCTGGGCATGCCTGAATTTTATGCCTTTCACCCTAATGCAATATTAAATTTTAAACATTGCAGAACTTAGATATTTGAGATTTTTTTTTAATTACTTTATTAATAATTTTTTAAAATTAATTTTCTAGATAATTAAAAAAAATTATAAGTATTTATGTGTAATTCAGGATACGGAAACAAGGTGGAATTCTTCATACCTTGCATGGAGACATCTTTTGCATTTACAAAATGCAATAAATATGGTAAAAGCAACAATTGCACAATCTAATGACCCTCAAATACGAAAAGAATCAAAACATCTTCATCAAATAATGCTTACTGATTCAGAATGGGACATACTAAAAGAATTAGTAATTCTTCTTTGTCCATTTGCTGAAGCTTCAACTTATTTAGGTGCAAGCAAAACATCAATGATTGGATTTATTAATTCAACCCTGGCGCATATTAAGCAAGATTTATACGATGAAGGTTGCCAATTTTATAATACACCAAATTTGGTTAACTTAGAAAACTTAGAAACGATCTTTAATAATGAAATTGAATATGAAGATGTTGAAGAGCGTGAAATTTCAAAACATCATAAAATAAATATCAATGTTCCACAAACCTGTAATAATTTGGGAAGAAAAGTACAGGCGGCATTGTACAAAGCTCTTGAAGCATATTGGAATTCTCCAGCTGATGATTATTTACTACCTACATTGTTGGATCTATGTCACAAAAAACTTGAATTTGCAGACTCTCTTGATCACAAGTTTGTTATAGATATCTTAAAAAATATGTATAATAAGTATACTCAAGATTCTCAACAAACTCCACTAACAAATTTAACAGATATTGTTGAACCATATAACTTAAATAATGAATTATCTACCAAATCTCTTAAAAAAAAATTTTGTTCGCTTTCTCAAAATAATGAAGTTGAAAATTATCTTTAACTTAATGAGATTGATTTAGAATCAGATGCTTGCACTTGGTGGGCTGCACATAAAAATAACTTTCCTGTTTTAGCTTCTTTTGCCCATGAATATTTGGCTATGCAAGCTACATCTACACCTAGTGAGCGTCTTTTTTCCAATGCTGGAATTATAATGAGTACTCATAGAACAAATTTGGGATCATTATTATTTGAACGTCTATTATTTTTAAAGAGAAACTCAACTTACTTGGAAAATATTTGGCCAAGAATTGAGTAAAATAATATGCTAAGATAATAGATTTGTTTGTTTTATTCTAACTTTTATTTCTGAAGGAAAATTTTTCTTAAGTTCCGTTTTGAATTTAATGCACCAATTTGTGCCAAAGCTGGTGCATTAAATTTAAAGCATTTACTTTCCGTCATTATCTAGTAGAATGTTTCTATGCATACTCTTTTCAGAATTATTCACAAAGAGCAAAATATATAGTGGTTTTATGAGTTGGGGCTAGGTATATATGTCTTTAAAGAATTTCTATGAAGTGTGCAGTTGTAGAGAATACATTTAGATGGGTTTTACTGTTTGAATCAGTATTAATTGAATTTAGGTTTAAGTTTTTATAGTAATACTATTCTGGATTTTTTAGTATAGTTGTTTATATATATCTTCTATTCTTTTATATTTTTTTTACCAAATTTTACGGGTTGTTTTAAAGGTTTTCAGAGAATATTATGTTATATATTCAAACATAAAAAGATTATGATAAGTATTCGTGGTTATTTGTTTTTATTGATCCTAAATACTATATGCGATGATTATTAGCAGTATTCATGAATATTATTTCACACCGTTTTTTATAGGTTATTTGGCATGCTATCTTAGAGAAATTCATATGTTACCTGTTATTTCCTATCCTTTTCTTATAATATAGATATAAATAACAACCTGAAAATGTGACCAGGTTGTGCTCCGGATGCTTACGTGACAGTCCAGAATGAATATCAGGAAAATTTTTGAAGTTTGATTAGTATATGGTTAATTTTGCAAATGTTACAACACATAATAATATGTATATTTTTATAAAAGATTAAAAACTTTCATATCATTAATTTTGTTTATTTTCGTTGTTTTTTTGATAAATTAAGAATTTTTTGAAAGCTTTTCTTTTTTTTACATGCTTTTATTATGGTTGAGTCAACATTTTCTTGAGAAATTTTATGCTTTCTTCATTGTACTGATGCTGGTTATATTCGAATTTTTTTGCTTCACTTTGTAATGATTCAGTCTTTATAGCAGAATTCTGTTGATAGAGATAAGAAGCCAGTTTGCTCAATGATAAATATTTTGCTTTTTTGTATTCTTAAAAATTTTAATACCAGCAAGTAGCTGTCCATATACATTTATATTTTCTCTCGAAAAATAACTATTTTCTTTAACAATAAAGGTTTTGGTTAGCCGATAGTGATCTTTGATATTTTTTGAAATTCATTTAACCGATTTAAGATATCTTCTTTGTTGTTAAGATCTATATATAAAACTACATTAAACTGTTCGATATTTATTTTTCAGATGAAGCAAATTTGAAGCAAAGTGTGAAACGAATTGTGAAGCAAAATATGAAGCAAAATATGAAGCAAGATATGTCGCAAAATATATAGTGAAATATGAAGTGAAATATGAAGTGAAATATGAAATGAATTAATAAAAAAAAGAAAATTAGCTTTTAAAATAACGATAATTACTATTAGTATAGTATATCTATAGTTTATTTAATTAATTAATGATATCATTAATAATTGGTTTGATTTCCGGTCATCCAGAGTACAACCTGGTACACATTTTCGATATACATCCAGATATATCCGAATGGATATCCAGATTATAATATTACATTTATAATGGATATCCGGATAACTATTTTTAGTAGCAGATGTCAATCCGGATATCCGAATTGACATCCAGATCCCAACACTAAGTAAACCAAAGAAGCTATTTGCCTTTTGGAATCTTGTGTATATGAGGAGAGATATGTTTTCAGTCTAATAAACATGAATTGTCAAATGTTGTAAGTTGATTAAGATATAAAATACCATGATGCTTAAGTTGTTTTTTAAAGGTTAAGTATTTTGG